CTACATCACAAAAGGAGGAATGTCGATAAGAGAATAAATGGAAGAACAAAATAGAAGCAACAGCAAGATCACACTTACGTTTCATATTCCACTCCTCGGGAAAGGGCATCTTTTCAGTCGGAATCAGGTCCGAAGTCCTTACTCGAACGAACCTGCCCATCCAACCCCGGTCCTTGTCCTCGTCAATACTCGAGAACAAAGCCTTGGTAGCCTGACGCTGGAGTTTTATTAACCCTCCTCGAAAAAGTCGGGGACGGTACAGCCGGATAAGATGATCGAGGGTGAACGACATCCCCTCAATTTTGCTCACAAAAAATCGGATAAGGATAACGATCCGCTACAAAGAAGGATGGACATGGCCTAGGGTTACCTGATATTGTCGACAGAAGTCAATAATGACGGAATCGAGGGGACCCAAAGTGAAAGGGTAAGTATATACATTCNCAAAGTGAAAGGGTAAGTATATACGTTCAAAAACCCTTTCACGTAAGAAGTGATATCTTCGTCAGGGGTAGGTATTATTACTTCTTTTTCACCCCAATTGCAATCCTTCTTTAACAGATCGAGGTGCCTCTCGGTTATCGAACACATGTACCTCGATACCGGCTCACACTGGCCAGGGACGGATGAACCTTTATCAACCTTAAAATCTGAAGTAAGGACACACGCCTCTGGAACACACTCCTCAGGCCGTGGTTCCGCAGGTGTCTCATCGGCGACACACTGTGAAGATAAAGCCTTCTCTTTCTGAGGAATGGCTTGAGATGTTTTCGCCATTTTTGAATTCAAAAGTAAGGAATAGAAGAAAGTGACAGAGATTTGGTTGAATTGAAGAGGGGTTTTTGCGGAAAGAAATCACAGCTTTACTGGTAAGTTGGAGAGTACGAAGAAGAACTTGGAAAATTTTGGAAGATAGAAGATGTAAAAATGGTAAAAGATAAAAGTAAAGGTTATTTATAGGTTCAAACGATGGCGGTTCAGTATCAGCAGTGGCCGACCACCGCCTGACATGCATTAAATACCTTGAAAGACTAAACCGACGGGACAGCTACCAGATGCGTCATGGTCGAACCCGATGGAAACGACAAGATATAATCTGATCGAGCTGTTGAAAATCATATCGTTTCTCGCCATATTCTTTCTGAGAAACGAGGGGAATATCTGTATACGGTCGAAATAGATTTCAACCTTGGCATGTCCGATCGAGTTCGAAGGGTGATGTATCAAAGTAAGATCCCGAAGGGGGGACGAACTAACCTCGAACCTGGGGAGTCCGGTCCGTATCGAGATCGATATCATAATCAAACTTGAATAAAGATCGAACCATGATGCAGGGTAGACCTATCGTGATGATAATCCAGAGACCAACCAACATTGACCTGGAATCAATTCGAGGGCTCGAACGAGGATCAGGCTCGAATCAAGATCACAAGTTCTAGCCAAAATCAAGCTCAAACCAAAATCGAGGATTCTAAGCAAGATCGAGCTCGCAGACAAAAGCCGTTGCAATCCCACTAGAGAGAATCTTGGCAGAATTTATGGAAAAGCTGACTTATCATGGGTCTCCCACTGAATGTTTATTTTATTATGCTTGGAGCCGAATCCCTCCACTATAAAAGGGCTTGGTTATCATTTCTGTAGGACAAATTTTTTCTGAGACTTACATTGTAATAAAAGTACTATATTCTTCTACAGTAAAGAATCTCTCTTTCAGTTTCTTAGATTGATTCTATTTGTCGAATCCGAAGGTTCATTGTTCTTGATAACCTTATCTAGATTGCATTCTCTCCAATCTACGTTTACATTTTTATTTATCCTTGCATTTTGTATCAAGTTACGCCACATATCCTCGGAACTGCATATAAATTCAACTCTATCTATTTTTCGGGTAAACAAACAGCAAGAAAAATATGTAAAGTAACATCAAGTAACTCCAAAAATTACGCTTATAAATTATTTATTTTGATCTCAAATCCATCACGACTGAAGCGTCCGGATAGAACTGCAACCGAAGACAATATAAGAGCTGGATAGACACGGGATCGGCATACTTGTGGAGAATTCGGCGTTTGATAGATATATTTGAATTTTTATATCCCTAAGCCACAATAATAGAGTTCAATTACATGTGTATTTGACGTAGAGGACTCCTAAAGTATCTTAAATTCTAAGACAAGTTGTTTGTGGTTCAATTCCATCTCTATTTGACATAGAAGAGTAATCCAAAAGTTAATTAAATTCTAACACAAATTTTTAGCGGACGTCTTTGTACATTGACATAATTTAATTTTAAAGGGTATAAAAGTCGGTCAATATTTCGAGAATATTTTTGTCGATCAACATTTAGTATTCTAACATTCGTGCTTTTATAATAATATAGATATAGATATATAATAATATAAATTAGTGTAGGTTCGAGTCACGCTGGAGGGGAAGTGTGAAAACACTATAGATCCTCCTAATTAGGGAGGGGTTAAAAAAAGAAAAAAAAATGTAATTAGTGTAACTTCAAACGAAAACAAGACATCTTCATTATTTAGTCACTTTTTTGACCTTTTTTCTATCTGTCACTAGCTTTTTGTAATGTGAAAATAATTCCTCGGCCATGTCACCTATTAAGGGGAAACAAATTCAGTTTGGACAAATATAAGGAGAAAAAAACAACACCCGTAAAGGTTGAGCGGGAACTCACTTTTTGGGCCAAGTACAAGGAAACTTATGTATTTTCCCAATTTGACCGAATTGCTTAAAAAAATTCTATATTCTCCGTGCACAAAAGTTAAACTCATAGGAAATACTCTCAAATATTTGAGATCATATTAATTATCTTTAGCAACATGTTACAACACATAACAATACAAGTTATTGAGCAAGATTGTAAATGCAAGAAAAGAAAAAACCCCTAGTTCTTGGACCATTACTGTACAATGAGCAAGAAAAGGCATGCGCATCTTCCTGAAGGCATACAGTTTTCCATGTCTTCCATCAAACTTTTGAAACCCAACTTCCAAGTTTTTGCTTAGAACTTAACTTAGATAACTACAACTAAAATAACTAAACAGAAGCTACATTCGAAACTCGAGCTATCAATTACCTTTTCATGTCCAACTAATGGCCACAGGACTACCAACTACATGCTTGCCATCTGACCACTCAATTCTACCATACACATTCGTAGTTGATGGCATTGAAGGAGCAGTGAAAGTCACGGTATATGACTTCTGCTCGTTCGCACGAGTAAAAACCAACGTTTCAGGCTCGACCGAGACTTTCACTGAGTTGCTTGGTGAAAAAACAGTACTAACTTTGTATGTTCCTGCTGGTCCAACATTAGTAAGCGTTCGCGTATATTTAACGGAGCTAGAACTGCTTCCACTGCCTGCAGTCATTTGTTCTGGAAATNTGCAGTCATTTGTTCTAGAAAAACAACAGCAAATGAAGGGTAATTCAAATCAGTGACACTGTATTTCTTACTTGTTTCACAGTTGTAGTTTCTTCTAGCAATGCTATTAATCTGGATTGATGTGTAGTTCAAGGCACAGAGGAAATTCAGATAATCATCAGCCCTCAAGTCGTAAACAAGTCCGGGGTTTAGTGCTGCAACAGGGTCTACATGTCCTGCACCATGATCAAACGGCGTGGACGGCTTTCCCGTCGAGACATCTTGGAGCGCACCACCGTTCTTGTACACTGTATAAGCCGTGGTCATAAGAGCCGAGCGAATAGCCGCTGGGCTCCAATCAGGGTGCGCTCCTTTAAGCAAAGCAGCCAAACCACTCACGTGCGGGCAAGACATAGACGTGCCCGAGATAATGTTGAACCCAACGCGTCTTGTGTCCTCGGCCAACCCTGTTGGTCCAACCGCACCTGTCCACCCTGCGAGAATGTTAACACCTGGTGCTATGATGTCCGGTTTGAGAATTTCCTGCGTGATTGAGTTTGGTCCTCTGGAGCTAAATGCAGCAACCACTGGTGATGGTTTGATCCCCACCTTAGTTCCCTCGAAAAGAATCGTGGCTGTTGGATTAGGATCCGAGGTTAAGTACTTCTTGATTGCTTCCCCTGTCGTCTGACCAACTGTCGTTGCTGGAAGCAAATGGGCATCAGCCACCAGCTCATCCCCGTTTGCGGCAGTGTTAGCCAAAACCATACCAACCCCACCGGCTTCTTTTACCACAGAACCTTTTTGGACCCTGGGATTTATCCCGCGGTCACATAGAACAATTTTGCCTTTAACCTTCTCAGGAATTAAGGTACCCGTCATGCAAAGATTTCCATTTGTAGTATTACTAGCATTACCAGCGTACACAAAGGGAAGCATTTTACTTAGTGACAAATCCCCTTTGTAGAGTGAAACACCAGAGAAATTCTTACCATTGCCTAGGCTTACATATGCAGGAAAATCGCGGTCCAATGTTCCTGCACCCACAGTAGTTATCCACGGCGCTACGTTGGACAAACTATAGGGACTAGGACCAGCGTTACCTGCAGAGCAGCAACAAGAATTACGTCTCAATCCCACGCAAGTTAGAATCGGCTATACGAATGAATCTTCATTGTTTATGTCATTCAGTTTAAACTAATCTCAGTCTAATATCATATAAAATGTAACAATTAAGTACTAGAAATTCTTCATATTTTTCGACTAGCATCGTTACCTGCAGAGCAAGAGACTAGAATCCCTTTTTCCATAGCAGCAAATGCTCCAATTGCGACACTGTCTCTATAATAATCTGAATTGCCACCACCAAGTGATAAAGAAAGCACATTCACATTATCATCAATTGCTTTGTCCATAGCTGCTAATATATCAGAGCTAAAACAACCACCAATCCAGCAAACTTTGTACACAGCAACTCTAGCACGAGTTGCCATTCCACGAGCAGTTCCAGAAGCATACCCAAAGAGACTAGCGCCCTGAACAACTGAACCAGCTGCAGTAGTAGCAGTGTGTGTTCCATGTCCGTCATCGTCCCTTGCAGATTTCGACTCTTTGGATACATCAACAGGACCCAATGTGGTCTCATAACCTTTCGAGAAGTACCTATCAACAAATATAATATGATTAAGTAATTAAAAGTATATCTTATCTCTAATAGTTTGAGCTTTTAGATAAGTTGATCATAATCAGTAGCAGAGCCAAGATTTTTAAAAAAAAAAATAATTCTAACAAGGAAATTCAGAAAAGTGCAAACTTGAAATAAAACAATTGACATGCACAAAAATAATTCATTTTTAGCCTATTTGTACAATGCAACTCTCTGATGAATGGCATTTAACTGAACCTCTTCGACACACTTAGCTATGCAAAAAGTGCAGTCCGGTACACTAAGCTCCCGCTATGCGCGAGTCCGGGGAAGGACCGGACCACAAGAGTCTATTGTACGCAGCCTTACAAATTTTCTACAAGAGGTTGTTTCCACGGCTCGAACCCGTGACCTCCCGGTCACATGATAACTTTACCCGTTACCACTTAGCTATGCAACTAATCATAAAATTAAACATGGTATCAAACAAGCGAAAAATTCCCAAATTCAAATTTCACTGCCAACTAGGAAAATCATAAAATGAATCAGACCAACACGTGAGAGGACGAGTTGACATATAATAACAACTACGTCCCGAAAAAGTTAGAGTTAGCTATAGGAATCCTCACGAACTACGATTTTATATATAATATAATTAAGTAATTAAAAATATTTTATGTCTAACAACATAATCTTTAAGACAAGTTATACCTTGCACCAATCAATTTCCTATTGCAATTTGAAGAACTGAAATTGGTACCAGATTCACACTCTCCTTTCCAAGAATCCGGAATAGGTCCAAGTCCAGTATCATCAAAACTCTTGCTTTCTGGCCAAACTCCAGTATCAAGAACCCCAACAACCACATCACTCATAGCATTTGATTCTGGAAAAAAATCAGCACTTCGATCAAGACCCAGAAAAGATGGTGTTCTTGTCGTGTGAAGTTCATATCTCAACTCCGGCAAAACAGACAGAATCCCAGATTGTCTCTCAAGTGATTCTGCTTCTTGAATAGTCAGTCTTGCTGAGAAACCATGTACAACGTTGTTGTAAACATACAACATTTCTGCTGAATCAGAAACTGATTTTAGTGATGAATCATACCAGTGTTTATGGTCTTCAAAACTCTCTGGCATTTGGGATTTTGCCACGTGTACTATGTAAGTACTCTTCTTATTACTAGTACTTCCTATTGTTGCTACTGATAAATGGCATAGACATAGCCCAAGAAGAACAAGAACTACTAGCATTGTAAATCTCGACATTTTTTTTTTAAAGTTGCTGTGCTTTTGCAAATCTTGACGTTGTTTTTGCTATGTAAATATATATAAGGTGAGAAAGAAGAGTAAATGTGAAGTGTGAAAACAAAGAAAAGAAGAGTGATGGGAGTGAAGATGGGGACGGTGGTTCTTGTTTGTTACTGTGAATGATTGGGTTTTCAACAAAAAGTTTCAAAGTTCCAGCCTTGCAAAAACAAACTGTGACATACAGTATTAGCAAAAAAATAAAAATAAAAACTGTGGCATACAAGAAAAAGAAAGAAATAAAGAAACAAAGAAACATTTCGCATTCTCGGAGGCATTTGTTTTCTTGACAAAATCGACTATGGTTTGTTTGGTTAAAACAAGTTAGGCTGAAATTAGTTAATTTGAAATTATTTTTTATTAATTATTTGGTGTATATTATATTAATATTGAGATTATTAATTTTACTGTTTTATTCTGAGATAATTTATTTTTGATTATGATTCTATCTTTTGACATGTATAAGTCTGATACAGTCAAAATTTTTCTATAACAATCTCGTTTGTTCCGAATATTTTTGGATGTTATAGCGAAGTGCTGTTATAGAGAACATATATTATAACATAGCATAAAAATTAGTTTCGAAAAAGCTTGACTTTTATAATGAAGTGTTGTTATATAGATATGCTGTTATAAAAATGTCTGACTGTATTACTTTTAGTTTTGAAATAATTTATTTCAAAATTAATAATCAAATAAATAATAAAACAATATTAAATTTTTATTACAAAATTATTTTTGCTCATCTGGAACCACCTCTTGGACCATAAAATGGACATCCTCAAAAGACACACTCACTTTATCTACAGGGGTAGTCACTCGCTCAGTGCTAATTGCTTTTTATTTTCTTTATTAAGGGGTCGTTGCCTTTTATTTTACGTGCATTACTAATATTTTATTTGGTATATTTACTTGTGTATAATTAATATTTGTATTAGTTATACATTATACTTGATATTATCCTATATGTAAAAAATGCGTAGAAAATCATGACATTAGTAATACCAAGACTATTAATGCATGCATTAATATGGTTAAAGACAAAATTATTCTTAAAGTCCCTTAAGCTAGAGAATATGGAGGGCATTTTTATAAATAACTATTTTTCTTAAAAATTATGCAATGCATTATAATTTTTAATACAACACACCAAACAATAGATAAGAAATAATATTTGTATAACTAATGCTTGCATTACTAACCTATACATTGCTAATCACTGCATTATCAATACAACTTATTCCACACTATTCTTGTACATCCTACAAAACGACCCCTTAATATCTTTCACTTTACCTCTTTGTGTAAGAAAACTAAGAAAAAGAGAACTCTGATATAATTCCCCACACTACCATACAACCATTTTTGTTTATAAATTTTTTACAGACTTTGGTATCAGAAGCATGGCAGTATTCATAGGTCAAGTGGCGGTCCAATTAGTAAAAGTTGTAGAATTGTATATTGGATCTTGTTGTGAGTATTAATATTAATAATAATACGTCAAATAAATTTGGAACATTGTGATAGTTCACGGGTTTTTAATTTGGGAGTTACCAAAGGTGGATAGTAGGTGAGACGTGGAAGTTTTATTATCCAACCAACTGTTTTCCTTGTCTCCCTCCATTTCTAATTATTTTGACAGTTCAGTTTAAAATGGTATTCACCTGCACTAATTTATGTGGTATTACTTTTTAAATTTTAATTACTAAATAATATCATCATATATTTTGAAACACATAATTCTATAATTATAAAAAATATATGTCATAAAATTTAAAAATTAGTATTTCTTAAATTGTTACTCAACTAAATAGGTCAAATAAAATGACATAAGCGGAGTTAACTTATATACATTTGATTGTCTAAAATATTTTTGTACTTTAAATATAGTTTAGTTTATTGTACCAAATTAGTTAATATTTTATCGTATTATCCATTAATATCGTTCATTAAATTTTGTTACAATATAAAAATAAAACAAAATTGATTCCATGATGAAAACTCATTTAAATTATCACAGTAGTTTGTTGTTTAACTCACCACACAGATAAGGTTCGGCGTAGGGGCAGATTAGTACCATATAAATGACAAGTGGAGACTGTTTCAATCTTTGATTGAGGAGTTAAATTTTATCATGTTGGTGGTACTGTTTGTGTTACTGTTTTCTTTCCATGATTTATATGCTATTGTTTTCTTTTCAAGAAATGATGCAATTATGAGCTAAGGATTATCAGAAATAGTCTTTTTATTTTCACAAAGTAGGGATAAAATTACGTATAAATTACTTTTCTTATACTCCATTAATGAAATTATACTAAATTTATTATTGTTATTGTTGTGACTGTTATTGTTATTGCTATTGAGGAGTTAAATTCTATAGTTTCAATCTTTTGTTCTTAATATTGAACTATTACTAAAATCGTAAGTTCAATCTTATTAATTTTTTTATAATTTTAATAAATTTTTACATATAAATATATACTTCATATTACTTTTTATGTATATATATAATATATAAATTAAGAGACAAAGGATGCATGTGAAGCCGTATGTGGCCAAGATTAATATTCTAATTAAAATGACTAGTATCACTATCAACTATATCTTTGATGATGACAACACAGGTTTAAGATGTCACTGTGTGCCCCTAATATTAGTACAGTGTAGATTCTGAAATTAGAATGTACCTTACTGCAGGGCGGAGCTAGAGTGCATTTCTGCGAGTTCGGTCGAACCCAATAGCTTTAGTTTGAATACTGTATTTATCTTAAAAAATCTATTAAATATGTATAAATTATTAATTTAGAACTCAATAACTTAAAACGATTAGAATACTGAACTCATAAGCTTGAAATCATGGCTCCGCCTATATACCTTAGGGCTTAGGCATTAGATTAAAGTATCTATTTCTGGATGTTTGGAAGACTACATCAAAGCCATCTTCATCACCGTCTAACAAAGTTAGATTAGTTAAAATCTTAACCGCATCTGATATTTACACAAAGTACTTTATTACTTAATCGTGATAAAGTACATTAACTCTGTATAAACATAGGATACGTATAAAATTTTAACGTTAGACTATCTGTTTATATTAACGGTTTTTCAAATATTTTATATACTTAAAAATATAAATAACTTTAATAAAAGAATATTAAATAGTTTTAGTTATAAGTATATTTGTCCTAACTATTATGTATTTGTCCTTAAATAATTTACTAATTGAGATAACAAGAGTAACTTGGAAGAAAAAAGAAATACATGAACTCTTTTGGTCTAAAACGATAAATAGTTTTGCAGAGAAGTTAGTTTTTGCAAGATAAACTTTGATCTAGAGTGGATTTCGCGAAGGATATGCAGTACAAACTTGATCTTAGGTTAACGTTAGTCTAAAAGCAGTGATTCCTTTTTAAAATGCACCAGATCTTGATTGGTTACTAACAATTGTACTTACCTAAGATCTTATTATCACTATTATTTACCTTAAAAATTAAACCACTTCCAATTAGATGCTTAACCCAGTTAAAAGTCTAAAGCTTAATTATCAAGAATGATTTGAAAATAAGATAATAAAACGTACAAGTATAAATCTTCTAGTTTCTTGCGGAGTTTATATAACACTTTGGCGTTGTGAGACACTTCAAATTTTGAATAGGCGAATTATTTGTTTTAGCACTAGTTTTTAATATTATAATTAGCTTTCTCTTTTTATACAAGTTATGAACATTTATATGTATTTAATTTTAGTTGGTGCTATTCTTAACTTTTTAACAACCTAATTAGGTTGTAATTTTTGAAAAGCAGAGACATTCAGAGATATTTGTCCAGACATCTCAACATACAAGATAATGAACCCTCCATAGTATTCTAACATTACCTTATTATAAAATATTTTTCAAGGGAAAAAGACCTCCCTCACTTACGGATGGAAGTCATTTTTCTTACAATTATATTAACTTTTAACTTAGTTTGTATAATTTGCGAACACTTTTATATTATTATTAATCTTGTGTACGGTCAATATCGAGTTCGTCTACGACATGAAAGGACAGGTTCGGAACATGACAATGCAAGACTGAAGATCGGCCCCGAGTCACGTCGGGCTAGAACCCGGGGTCAGGACACCTGCCTTCAAGAACATTGAGTCCGAGACCCCGGAGTTGACCCTAGTCCCGAACGAGCTTGAAAAAATATTGTTAGCATAACCAACGAAAGACCGAAATATTCGTAACCGGACAGATGTTGCGGCGGGAATCTCGGCGCGTATCAGTGAGGAACCGACAATCAGCAAATCAAGAAATTTTTATCTTTTATAGAATTGTATTTAAAGTAGGACTCTTATACTATATAAAGGGGGTTTGATAATTCATTGGACACATTATAAACACCCATTCCAAAGCAATATATTATTATTATTTCTCTTTAAGCTCTTGTTCTTCTGTGCCTTGGCACCGATCGAAGCGTACCTGGCTCGAGGGTGATTAATCTTTCAAGGCTAAGACTATTCAATTCGTGTGGTTTGCATTTACTTTATCATTATTTATTTCAATTGCAATCTAACTTATCGTTCTGTGTCAAGTTAGTCCACATATCCTTAAAACCACTTACAAATTCAATTGTTATCCGATTTTGAGGGTAAACAATTTGACGCCTACCATGGGGCTAAGGATAATAGTGGTTATTTGATACCAATCTCCATAACACATACTACTTTAAACTTGTTCTTTGAAGTGTCTCTAATTGCAGGTTAAAACTCAAAATGTCGAACTCCCAATCAGCACCCCTACATGTTGACAATGAGTTCGGTCATCACGGTGAAAATAATAATATAACGCCCGGTGATGAGGTACCGCCCGTTGATCCCATCAAAATTCTGCCCGCGGACCCGATTGATGCTAATTCACATGTGGCTATCGACATAAACCTTCCTACTGACCTCGAGAATAGCGTCCATGGTAGAGCCCGATCGGTAGCTCAAAATACACAAAACATTGGAGGAGACGGGATCAGTTTACGAGTGATCTTCGAAATGTTGTAGGCTCAACAGGCAGTGATAGCTCAGTTACAGAACCAAAGCCGTGCACCCAACAAAGTTGAACCCGATCCACCCTGGGAAGTCACCC